CTGTTCTATACTTGTTTTCTTTCACACATTCCTTAGCCTTTTGCAAGAACACTCAAGGTCGAATGCTTGAGCTAAAGAAAATCAGAATGACTTAACATCGTGGCTTCTCAGAGCCTTTAATATGCTGTTTGTTGAAATTCTCTAAGAAAAAGAAATTTTATGTAGTTTCTCAAGATTGTGACCACTTTTTTCCGCTATAGACCATTTCATGAGATTAATGATCCGCTGTTGGTCTGTTTCAATTAAAATTTTCAGCCTGGATTAGAAATACGGAGATGTTAAGGGAAGAAGAATCTTTTGACAAGTGTGATTGCTACATGCATCAACCTTCGAGACATGGGGAGCATTGGTAGTGGAAATGGAGAGAAATTCCTCGGGGAGGTCAATTTTGGCAGACGATCAAGCTAGCTGCCCCTCACCAGGAGCATTTCATTGGTGACTTTACAAGTTTCTGGGTTCTGTTTTTAAGGACTTACTATGTGCCAGATGTTAGATCAGACTCATAGAAAATGAAAAGACACAGTATCTTTCCTAAGGAGTAAAGGGGTGGGATAGAGAAGACAGTTGTAGTCGTGTCAGAGGAGGTGAGGGTCTAGGTATCCACAAGGTGCTTTGGTAAGACCAAGGGCAGTTAGCCTGGCCCAAAGGGTTAGACTTGCAGAGGCCATGATGTCCAGGCTGGTTCTTGAAGGCCGAGAAAGGCTTAGCCAGGAAAGGAAGAAGAGCATGTACCAAGGTCGAGAGGCTGGAGAAAACATGGTGTATTCAGGGAACTCTGAGTAGCTTGCATAGCTAGAATATGGAGTATAAGAGACTGAACAGGTACAAAGGGAGCAAAACACGAAGGGCTTTGTGTAGATCCTTCTCAAGGTGAAGGGAGATTAGTAAAGGCTGTTATTCAGGATCAGATTTACTTTTGAAAGCTCCCTCTTGACAGCAGTGCAGAAAATGGATCGTGGAGGTAGGCAGAAGGTCAGAAAGCAAGCTCCAGGAGGCTAGCAAGAATGACAAGGGCCTGAACGAGGACAGTATGGATGAAGGAGAAGGCAAGTAAAAGTTTAAACTGATAGGACTGGATGAACCAAGATGCTGGACTGAGGGGCTTAGAGGCTTTGGTAGACAATTCCCAGGTTCCTGACTTAAACGAGTCCAGGCAATGGTAAGGCCACATCATAATATAGGGACTACAGGACAAGGGGCAGGGTTTTTGGAAGGAGATACTATAATACTATATTCAGGTTTGCACTTGTTCAGTTTGAAATTTCAGTAAAACCTGTGTGAGATGTTCAGGAGATGGTTGGAACTCTGGGTTGAGAAATGCAGATTTGACAGGTATCGGAATAAAGGCTGTAGGTGAAGCTATAGGTATGGATGAGATTGGGCAAGGCGTGTGTAGACTGAGGAGAAAGTAGAGACAAAACCCCTGGGGAAATATCTCCCTCTCTTGAATGCCTCTAGCATGTCTGTAACTCACGTGGAATTTGTCATATGCTGCAATAAACATTTAGAGCTGAGTGACTTTTATGTACAAAAAGTATAATGCTATATATGAGGATGGCAAAGAGGAATGAAAGAAGGTCCTTTCATCCAAGGAGACTATGATCTAGTTGTGGAGAAAGAATTACACCCAACTTTTATACAAAATGAAATAAGAGCTATAAATGTGCTGCGTGTAGAAGAGACAATTCAATGGGAGAGAACAGGTTGCTGGAGGGGAGGAGAGCATTTGAGTTGGGCTTTGCAAAATAATTGGATTTTGCAAGCAGGGAAAGGGGAAAGCAAGCAAGTAATTTGAGGCTGGAAATTAACACACGGAGATCGCAACAGCACGGAGTGTAGGAAGTGACAGTGAGAAAGAGGCTGGAAAGGTGGCTTGAGGCCAGGATCCAGGGAATCCTGCTGAGGTTTCTCAGGAGTCCATTTTAAAGGAGACACACACGTGTCTCTGTTATGTCCAAGTACTTGCGATGTAGCAGATTCATTCCTGCCTATTCCCTTATTTCAGAAATGCCTTTAAGAACAACGAATCGAAAAAATGCTAAAGGAAACCTAAAAATCACCAAACTAAGGCTTGAGGCTTATAAATTGCTTTCTCTCATTTCTATATTTCCATTCTGCAAAACTGTTAGTGGAACTTTAATTACTTGGCTTCATTATAAAATTTCCACTGCATGTAAGTGTAAATTCACTCTAATGTTCTCATTTGAATCTGTGGCTGAAAGCATCAGTAGAAATTACATTTTTGTGGCACTTCCTTGGCACGCTGAAGGAAAACGAAATGGATGCAGCTAATCAAGTCATGAGTGACTTTGAAAGTGGTAGATTATATAAAGATAGTAAATAATAAGAGATAAAGAAGTATATTTTAAAGATTAAAAATATTTTATTTAAACTTTTCTTCATAAACACTTTTAACATTTTTTTCAATTTAAAAACAGAATGGATAGCATAAACATGTTTGAATAGATTATATTCACGGCTTGGGAAAAATTACCTGACAAAAATGTAAAGGCTTTCAAAACAGGTATAAAAGGCAAACCTTAAATTATTCTAAGATTTTTAAATCGGCCCTAGGATTATTTGACTACTGGCCCAAAATGTACCTAAAGATCAAAATATTTTTCTATAGACAAAGTACGCCCAAGAGGTATAGGGCATATACAAGTTAGGTAGAAAATAACATCTCCAATCACCTCACTGGAACATTCCTTCAGAAAGCAAACTCCTAATCCTTACTGATATACTGATTAATAAGGTTTTTAATGTAGTTGTTCCCAAAGATGTAAAAAGAAAATCCAAGAATAGTAAGGGGGAACAAACAAAGATGATGGCATTCTCTCAATGTTACTTGTGTAATATCGAAGTTATACTGGTATACTGAAAGAAAAGGACTTCCATGAGTTTACCTATTCCGGTCTATGTCTACTGAATATTTGACTTTATAAACTCTCAATAAATTTTTCAGGACTTTAATTTTTAAGATAAATCTCTTTTTAGAAGATATTTATTCCCAAACCAACTCTAATCCGATTAAACATATGTATGATCCCTAAAAATGTTCAGAGTACAAAAAAAATCAAAAATGTGTAATAGGCAAACAAGAAAAATGGCACTAGCAGTTTTACTGCCATATAGCCCTCAATTATATCTAATTTACACTATCATCTATGTTGTGTTTTACTTCAGTCTAAAACCTTAAATTATGTATTCTCAAAAGAGCTAGTCTTTTTTGAGAGATAGCTTATAAACTGAAATAACAATTTATATTATAAACTGAAATGTTATGACCTACAACCACATATACATATATAAAAATAGTCCCACTGAACGTTTGACATGTTTAGATTATGCAGCTCAAATAATTTGTTATAAAATATTTTAAAGCTTAGTTTCATGTAATTAAGACAAAACTCTCAATTTTTACCACTTCTCCCACACAAATGTATGTGTCCTTTACTATGACTCGAGCAGGCTTCCCAGAATGAGGTGTCCAAAGGTGCTGCTTAGAAAAGATAAGTGAAGGGCTCAGTCAGTATTTCACAAATTATAGTAACACTCACACAGAGCAGAGTAACGAGGACACAGAGAAAGCTGTCTCAAGAAAAGCTAATAATTCTATTAATTAAGCTTTGCTTTTTAAAAACCAGTAGTATTTCTTCCAATATAAAACTTTCAATGTGAGAACCTTGAATTTTATGAAAAGGTTGTAGTGCAAGGATTTTCTTTAAACAGATTAAAATCAAAACTTAGGTCAAAGACATGGGAGAGAACTAACGTTTCTAATTAAGATGCAGTTAATGAAGATCAGCTACTTTTGTAAAGTCTGGCATTTAAAATGTAAAGTGAGTACCAACACACAAAGATCACAACAGTTGGACTGTATAGTTTCAAATTTCTTACTGAACTTTTTAAAAATGACTATTTTGAACACATATAATGTATATTTAAAAAAATGGTTCCAAATGAAGCACGCAAAAAAACTTGAAAAAAAATTCTCTGAAAAATTTAACAAAATTTTGTTTAGTTTAGCAAAAATAAATCTTTCAGCAATTAAACCATGGTTTGAAAAGGGAATGTAAGTTAATCATTAGCGCTACAGAATTTTCTCATACATTTGTGAAGAACCCAAGCAATAGCAACTATTCTTAAAGCTCAAAAGTGATCACAGCTAACATCAGGTCAGACATGACTTACGTGTGAAGGTGAACCCAGAGTTAGTTCAAGAAATTTTCCAAAACATGAACTTTGACCTTGGCCTTGTGTCTTTAGAATTGAAGACCAAGAATTTCGATTGTTTGCCCAGATCTTACCCTAACAAAGGCTATGAAGTCACATCAAAGCAATTAAAGAGAACCACCACTGGAGTGTAAAAGCCTAATGGGGTACCTGTCTCGGTCTTTGCCAGCAAAAGACAACAATGAGGAAAATGATGAAGACATTATCGTTACTTTCTTTAAAGCAAGACAGCACACATACGAAACACTAAACCAACTAATATATTAGAAAAAAAATTAACTAACATAATCCTACTTTTCATAAGTAAAATTAGAAATGATTTTTAAAATGTAGAAAAAAAATTTTCACCCATATTACCAAGAGAAATGGTATCAAATTTCACTTTTAGAAACAAAGTAAATGATAGAATCATTTAATAAAAATTTAAGTCTCATATACAAAAGAAGATTATTAACTTGATTTCTAAAACCAATGCCAATGTTTTTCTTTTTCAAAAACTACTCATGTACCTGACTGTTTCTTAAACTCAAACACCTCCAGTTTTGGAGTTTTAAGATCAGGTTTTTTCTTCTCATAGTTGTCTAATGTAATTGCAAAAAAAACAAAAAATAAGTCTTCACATTTCCATGACTTCACTTTTCCATTTTATGTTCAGTGGTGCAGCAGCAAAAAAAAAAAAAAAAAAAAGAAAACAAAAAAAAAAAAAAACAACCAATAAGTGGTCACCGTATCATTTCCCGCTAAAAGATGCAGAATTTAAAAAAAAAAAGTGAAACTAGAAAATTTATACAACAGCCATACAGAGGGCATTGCAATATTGCACCAATATCTTAAGATCTGGCAAGTTTTGCCAGTGTAGATCTAATGTATATCAGATATAGGCTCTACTTCAGGAAAAAATGGCATCAATTTGAATGAGCCATTCCCTGGTTATTCTTGCTGAATTTTGTCAACTATGTTTGTCCTTCGAGTTCAAAGAGTTGAAAGGTGCGGCTAATCCTAAAACATTTACCAGAAATACTTTTAAACAGTTATTCTCGATCCATTCTGAACTTTGAGATTACTGTCCTTCATGCTAGTAGCTTTCAGTAAATAAAACAAAAGCTGAGGGCTTAGATCCCCAGTGCCGCTAAGTATTTTGTACTAAATAAACGAGTAGATATGACCAGTTAAGATAATTCCATTCCTTACCTCTAAGTCAAAACTGAGCTCAAATTTTCCACAAGTTGCTACTTTCCATTCAATAACAGATGCAGCAGCTTTACTGAATGTAAAGAATGGGAGTTGCACTTACTTTTAAGGGGCCTTTATTTAGGAGTCTGGTATTACCTAAATTCTCTTTAAAAGTGCTTTCACGCTGCAGGGCCAGGGCTTGTCATATACCACTGCGATTCTCACTAAAAACAGGTAACATTAAACAGACTGCAAAGAAAAACATTTTCAACAAGACATACATCGATAAGGAACACTAACGTTTACTTTTGAAAGTAAAATATAAAATGTTAGTTTTCCTAAATCCATACATGTTTCAGGAATATAAAGAGTTCAAATATTACTGAATCAGTATGGACTGAAGATAGGCTACTCTGATACCAAATGAGGACTCCAGTTATTTTAACTTTCTAAAAATGTTAATACATGAAAAGACATTACATCTAAAATTCAACAAGTATGGCAAACCGTGTGTGCAAGTGCACTAGCTTAAAAATATAGAATCCTAACCACGCATAAAAGGGGATGTGCCTTATATAGTCATAAGATGTATGCAAGTATGGATATGCTTTCACTAACACAATGCAGATAAGAGAAGGCAGCTTAGAAATAGTGTTTTGAATATAAAAAGTTAATTTTGTAGAAAATTTATATTTTTGCATTTCAGCAAAAAGCCATGCAAAAAGGTTGAGTTTTAAACTTAAACAGTAAAACCAAAAGGTCTAACGGACTGAAATATGCTGAAATAAATGTTCAAAAAGATTTCAGATCGAGATAGAAACTGAAATTACATCAAGTGACACTTATCAGGTCTTCTCTTAGAAGATGCATGACTCCTACGCTGACATCTGAAAGAAATGTTTAAAGCATAAAGTCAACTTCCCAGATAAGTGGATCGTTCGATTAAACTGCTTCTGGAAGTAGTTTCAAGAGCTAGCACTTTGAATTAACTTATTGCATGAGTTTGAGGCCACTAAAAAGAAAAAAAAAAGGATGCTAGCACAGAATGAAACTTTTTTACGCTATTAGACCAATGGCTTTGATAGTAAAACTGGTGAGGTTTTGCTTTATGTTTTTAATTAACTACTTTGTCACAAATTTTATGTTTGGCTTTTCTTGAGGGAAAAAAAGTCATTGATTGCAACGTCTGACCTCGTCCAGTATATATTCTGGAAAATGCAGATTGCATACTTGTAAACCATCCAGCTTGCAGGGCATCCGTGGATACTCATCTTCCTTCCATTTGTTTTCGTCGGGATCAAAAGTGAGAATGGAATCGCTGTAATGACCGTTGTAGCAAAGGCCTCCAAGAACCATTATTTGTTTGTCCAGCACAGTCACGCCATGGCCACTTCTTCCAATTGGCATGGATGCCAAGATGGTCCACTGATCAGTCTCTGGGTTGTACACTTCTGTGGAAGGGCAGCCCTGAGATTCAAAAGAGGCCCTCAAGATCACACAGACACCACCAAAGACATAAAGCTTGCCATTGTAAGAAATCATCTTGTGAAAGCATCTTGCGTAATTCATTTTGCTCTTATTCTCCCAGCAGTTGGTAACTACTTGAGTTCTCCTGGTCCGTTGTTCTATGGTTCCTTCTTTACTGGGGTCGAACACGCACACTTGTTTGGAGGTGGAAGATGACGTGATTCCGCCGGTGATGAACAACTTGTTATTGAGCACTGTCCCTTCATGTCCATATTTGTTAACTGGATAAGGATCCACAAATTCCCATTTATCATTGGTGATGTCATATCTCTCTGTTGAATAGAAAGTCTCATCTCTGGTTCTTCCTGCTACAGCGTAAATAAACTTCCCAATAACACCAACTGCAAATTCTGAACGAGGTACAGACATGTCAGCCATCCGGAGCCAAGAGTTTTGTCTTGGGTCATACCTGAACACTTTGGAAGAAGCATGGAATTCGCCATCTGGGCCCAGTTCTTCCCCGCCCAACAAGAACACGAAGTTATTGACAATGGCAAGGCAGTCCGGGCGTAGAGGTACTTGGGGGCCTTCCAGTTCCCACCAGACTCTTGGTTTCTTCAGGAGTAGTATTTTACTGTTAACCATGCTATGTCCAATCATGCCTCGGAATACTGTAGTTTGGGGTTTGGCAGAGCGGATGCGGCTTGATTTCATATCTAACAAAGGCTGCTGGTGAACGTTCTGAAAGTAATGCAGTGCTTGGTCAACTTCATAGCGCAGCTGTCGGGAGTATCTATAAAATTCTGATGTCTTAACCTAAGAATATAAGTAAAAGAATTTAATTAAAAGAAAGAACATTGATGGCAAACAAAACATCAAAGCCCACTGATTAGTGTAAGATTTTAGGCATACTTTACTAAAACAGCTTTTCCTGTTAAGATCACAAGCTTTATTTTTTACAAAGCTTTATGTTTTTGCAATCTGTATCTTTAATAATCCATGCAGTCCCCAAGCTTTTTAAAGTAAACAGGTTACTTTCCAAGCACAAGCTAAACTTCTCTAACAAAATGTATTAATCACCTATTTTATGTCAGGCCCTGGGCTACAAGTGGTGGCTAAGAGGACAAATAGAGGTTTCACAGTAGAGAAAACCAAGACTATGGTTTTCTTAAAGAACAGCCATGACTGAATAATTTAGGGAATTAAGTTAGTGAGTTAGTAAAAAACATACACAAAATTCTCAGGTTTTTGACATAAAGACTTGGTCTGATATCAACTCCTACAGTAACAATTCGATTGACAAGAAAAAGGTCAATTTTTTTTTCCTTTTTGTTTTTGGAGCTGGAACTACCTAATCAAGATGATTACTAAGATCTTATGAAGCACTTTTAAGTGCTGTGCTAATGCTATAGGGATATTTAAAAAAAAATAAACATAAGATGTGGTCTGTTTCCTTAAAGAACTTAGAATATATTTGGGAAAATGAGAACAAATACACATTTATCAATAAGTAAATGAGTCAGCTGACGGTTAGGTGTGAGGCTGCACAGCGCATTTGTGAGTGCTGTGGAACTTTAGATAAAGAACATGTTGACCTGGCCTAAAACACTCGAGGGACACTCTGTGAAAGAGGTAGGAAGTTGAAGACCAAGCAGGACAAGCCTGTATCATAAAGACAAGGATGAGATAAGAGAGTCTTAAAATTGGATGGTAGAAATTAGATATTGTAGAGATAAAGTCAACAGAAGTACATGACTGATTTGAAGTATGGATAGGATGAAAAAGTGAGGACTCAAATGTGATTCGAGGATTCAGACTCGAGGTGACAGGTAGAGTGGTGTTAATAACGGAAACGGCAGACGAAGTGGTTTGGGAGAGGCATTCTAGTTCACTGGTGATAAATGTGAATTGCTGGTAAGATGCTGAGGTGGAAAGCCTGTTGGAAATCTGAAATGACAGTTTGGGAGGAAGTCAAAACTAGACATATATACTTATGAACTTTTTGTCCTTCCCTTCCTTTTTTCTTCCTTCCTTCCTATCTTTCTCATTCACTCCCCATCTTAGTCCAAAAAAAAGTGTTTGAAACAGTAAGCATCACAAATTTTTAAGTATTTTGATAAATGTATTACAATATCATTGGTTTCCTTTGTAATCCTAAGCATTTTATTTTATGCATTTAAAATCATTCTTCTGAGAAGGGGTCCTTCCATGGGTTTCACCAGACTAGCAAAGGGGTAAACAGCACAAAAAAGGTTGAGAATTCCTTGCTTAACCAAGTAAAAGAGAGAAAACTGACATTACTGCATTGGGTGCTTTAAGTGTAACATCTCGTGTTAAAGTATTCCTTCCATGAGAGAGCAATAATCATCCCTGTTTTCCTGATGACAAGACCGAGGCTTAGAGTGTTAAGTCAACATGCCCAAATTGTTTGCACGACTAAAACCAGTAGAGCTGCAATCTATTGACCCAGGACAATCCTGCTCCAAAGCTCAATTTCCAACACAGCTTCCAATATTCTTTAGAAAACTCTTTAAATGACATACTCACTTATTAAAACAATATGTTTGATGAATTAGCCTAATGACCCCTTTCAAAGAAAAGGTAGTATAATTGTTCTAAATACAAAGAATCTATCATACGGATCATAGAATTCAAGTTTTCCAAAGGAAAATGAGAATCAATTCCAAGATCGGAAACTGTGTAAAGAAGCTCGAGAAGACTTGGAAGCTCTCAAAAGCATAATGCTCACTGCATAATTGCAAACACACTGATAAGGGGACGAAAAGGGGAAAGTATCTAAAAAATCTGATGTGCTGCACAGAGAGCTTTCTGGAATTCAGATGTTAAAAAACCACTTACAACAGATGGTAAAAAGAAAGAAAACAGGCACATAAAACAAGTATTAGTGGAATGGAGCTGTAAGAATATTGTGAATGAGGCTAAAGCCCCAGGATGAACTGTGATTTTACAAAGTGCCAAATATTGAACAGCATTTTAGAGGCTAAAGTAAGAGGAAAAATTGAAGCACCCCTCCCCACAGGTTTAAATGTAATATTAACAAAGACAAAGAGAAATAGCCTTACTCCTATTTTATTTCCATTCTCAGCTAAGAATGTTTTATTCTTTCCAATCTGAAGATCAAATACAATGACTAAGAAGAAACTTAAACCCAAGATAGCTAAGAGAAAAAAAAGAAAAACCAGCTAGATATTCTCACAGAGTTCAAGTCATTTGATCTCACAAATCACATCCTGGGATCCTGAGAGGCTTCACAGATAAGGCTGTGTAATTGCTTTCCGTAATCTGTATGGAATCATGAAGAATGGGAAAGGAGTAGAAGCCAGACAAATTTCCCAACTACAAACTGGTTAGCCTGAGGATGATCCTGGATTGTTAAAAAATAGTTTAGCACTTGCCAATAAGAAAGCACGACACACTAGGAGGCAGCACAGACTCACCAAGTAAAGCCAAGACTGGCTGTTTCTAGTTTAATTTTTGATGATGTTATAGCACTGGTAGAGAGTGAGAGAACCTATGACTTCAACAGAGCAATCAACAAAGTCTAATCATAAACGAGAAAGGCTGGGGGCCCATGAATCACCTGAAGTTGCAGCAATAATTGTGTTAATGCATTTGAGGGGTCAGAGTGAAGTGGTGATAAGTCTACAGCTTTTGCCAGATGCTCCAGGGATCCACGAACTCCAAATGTCAAGCTTTAACTGACTCTATCCTCAATATGAACTAACGACGTGAAATGACAGCCTTAAAAGCTAATAAAAATCACGGACTGAATTAAAAGAAGAGACAATCCCATGCTTTCCATTCGGGTGAAACCACAACCAAGACAGCGTTCGGTTCCATCACTACATTCTAGACATTGACAAAATGGAACATATCTGGAAAAAAGATGGCAACTGTTTTCAGGACCTGTAAGCGGAAGTTAGGAGGAAGATTTTAGGCCAGTATAAGGAAAAGCTTTGTAATTAGAGCTGTCAAGATAATGGATGTTCATTGCATTATCTTTAAGAGCACAAAGACTGGGAACTCAAGTATCTATCAATAAGACGTCGGTTGAATAAACTTTAGTATATACCGTATGTAGTAGTCACTAAAAAGAATGAGGTTAATCCATATGCACTAACACAGACATTCAAAATGTCAAATGACAGAAACTGCATAATAGTATATACAATATTCTCAAAAAATAAAAATGAACTATTTTAGTCGGCAGTAGATGCAGGGGAAAATGTATACATGGACAACACAGGTTATCAGTGAGCTTCTGGGGGACTTGCCCTTTTTAGGTTCCATAAGGGTCTATATTTAGCTTTTTTACAGAGACTACAGTATAAAACAAGTATAGGTACATATTTTCCCAAGTCAAGGACTGTCTACATCTGGAGTCAGTGAACGTTCTACCATGGGAGGTAGTCCAGGTGTGACCATCTATCAGGAGCACTAGGACTAGGAAAATGACCTGTAATGACCTTCCATCTACCAACCCTCTGCTCTTGCAGATCCCATCAAACAGAGCCAGCTTAACTGCTTCTTAAGAGTCATTTTCCTATCTTTCATTTTATACCCAATTTTCAGGTCCCTTTGTCCTCTTCTCCATTCCACTGTGCTCTTTTGAAACCAAGGTTCCAAAGAGTTTCCAAAACTCATTTCAACTCTATGTTCAAGTCCAAATCAAAGCTACCTATCTGCATGCAGGCTGTTCAACCTCTAAGTCTCTGACAGTGGAAGCTGCGCCTCTTGAGATCACTAGTTATACCCTAAAAGACCTAACCGAAGAAACTGAACTCCTACTACTCTCTGCCAGGTTCAGAAGTTCTAGATCTACCCTGCCCTTTTCCCAGAGCTATTTACTGCTGCAATTTTCCTCTAAACCCACACAATAGCAATAAGCATAACTAGTTTCTTCTTCCACTATAGAAATGGGAAATGAATGCCTCTCTGATAATCCTGGAAAAATTACAGATATACTCTGCTTAAAAACAAAAGGCGGAAGGCTGAAAAACCTATGTAAATGGAATGATTTAAAATGCATTAATGAAAAGAGCTGTCCAAAAATAAATGTGGGGCTCATCTTTTCATAGAGAAACCATTTCTCTCATCATTTGCTCCTCATGTAACAGTTAAACTATCTGTATATTGGGTGCTCTCAAAAGAAAGATATGGGAAGAATGACATTCCTTTCATGTTCTGAACTACTTTCCTTATCTTTTCATAGGATTAAAAAAGCTGTCTTGTTTTAAAAATTGTATTATGAAAAGCATTTTATCTTATTCTGAATATAAAATGAAAGCATGTATTGTCTCTTAAAAAGTCATCTAAAAATTTTAAATTGGCCATTTCCTCCTTTAATCTTTTAATTTAATGTAATTATGTGCATGCACATATGCGTGTAAAGAAAATATGAAAAATTTTGATTACGGTTCCTGTAAACATATTAAGTCAAAGAAATAACAGCTAGCCATTACCACTGAGCAAAAATTCCATGTTTCTCCCTTCACTGTCAAAATAGTATATAATCCATTTATTAAATTTTTAACCTTTAAAGGTAATTTGTAAATTTTGAGAATTAAAATGGAACTGGCAATATAATTAAAACAAGCATTTCTACAGAGCTCACTACCTTTATTTGATTAAAAATCTGCAATTTTAAATATCTACTAAAATTGGCTAGTCTAAAATTATTTTAGGCTTTCGGTCAGCCAACTGAAGGTATTATCAGCTGTTTCACCTTTCAAAATGATTTGTAAATGCCCAATATACTAAACCAAAAAACCAAAATGCCTTTTATTAGTTTATCC